TCTCCATTGTTTTTTTTATAGGAAAAAATATCAGTACCAATCTTATCTCCACCTTGAATCCACAAAATATCAGTACCAATCTTATCACCATTGTTTTTTTATAGGAAATAAAATAGCATTAAAAAGAAAACTAAGGTACAAGTTGTACAATAGGCACCTGTAAAAAGAAGTTACAAAATGCTGTTGCTGTTATAAAGAAAACAATCAACATCTAACCCATCTCCAACTTCATTGTGACCACCCCTTTGTCTTTAAGCTTCAATTGAATCATTTCCTTTTGTTTCCTAGCTTTTATCGTTTATCAAATCAAATTCAATTCACTAAAACGTTGCTCTGTACAATTTGCTTTGACACATTAGTCTAAGGTCACTACTAGAAAATTGTAAAATAGCAACCAAAATTAGCGACCAAAATTTATTAGTCTCTATTTATCGACTGATTTAGCAACCAATTATGAATAATCAAAATAGCGACCGATTTAACGACCAAAATAAGTCGTCGCTAGAAAATCGGTCGTTATTTCGGTCGCTAAATATATATCTACATATATTATACTTATAGTGACACTTTTTGTATTTCAGTATATACTTTTTCTTCATAAGAAAACATTAGTGACTATTGTAATAACTTGACAGGTTTCTACACTTACTATGGTTCAATAGCTAAGAAGCAGAGAAGAATATACATATCATTTAACCTAGAATTATCATTGTAACATCCTATTATTTTATTATTATTATTTGGCATTTTCGTAATTTTATTAAAGTTATAGGGGTATTTTTGTAACTTGGAACGGGCTGTTCCAAAAGTGAAATGGGCCGTTCCAAGCAACAAAAATAAGCTAAATTTTTAAGTTGGGATCGGGCCTAGAACGAGCCGTTCCAACAAGGAGAACGGGCAGTTCTGATTTTGGAACGGGTCGTTCTGCTGAGATTGAGAACGAGCCGTTCTGGTTTTAGAACGGGCCGTTCTGCTTTTTGGAAACGGGCCGTTCTGATTTTAGAACGGGTCGTTCCAGTTGAAAAATTTGCACAGATTCGAAGGATCCGGAACGGGCCGTTCCGAATTCAATACGGGCCGTTCTGGGTACCCAAGGTTGCCTATAAATAGGAGGTATGGGGGGGGGTGAACAATTATAACTTGAGAGAAGGAAATTCTAGAGAGATAAAGGAGAGAGAAAGAGAGAGAAAGAGAGAGGAGGGGAAAGAAAAGAGGAGTGAGAGAAAGAGGAATCTCGAGGAGAAGATTCTACCCTAGTTCCGGTCCTTGTTTAAGGAAAGAGAGGTGGAGGTTCTGCCCTAGTTCTGGTCCTTGTTTAAGGAAAGAGAGGTGGAGGTTCTGCCCTAGTTCCGGTTACTGTTTAAGGAAAGAGAGGAGAAGGTTCTGCCCAAGTTCCTATTTATCCAGGTACGGGGGAAAAGGAGGAGAGGAGGAGGTTCTGCCTGAGTTCCTATTTATCCAGGTACGGGGGAAAAGGGGATTATTTATATGTAGAGTACATGAGGGAATTGGGTAGAGGAAGAATTCCTTAGGATTATGATTAATTTTATAATTATTTTATTTGGAGAATTATTAGTTCCATTAAAGTTATCTATGTTGAGGTTTATAAATATGCCTAAGTGTAGGAATGATGATCTGGGAAGAAGAATGAATTGTAAGGAAAATGCGGTGAGCTAGATTTTGGAATAATTAGGGGTTTTACTGTTTATATTAATTATTCTATTGATTATTATATTAACGAAATTTATTGCTATATTACTTGTTAAGAATGAATGATTTTGATGTAGATTACTTGAGGGGTGTGTAAACCCTTATTTTGTTGAGCTTATCTATTATATATGTGAGGTGAAATTGTGTATGTAATGTGAATTTGATTAATGAGATGAGATGTTGTATGAATGTGATTATGATTGTAATTGTGATGCCTCACATCGATGACTAGGGATGGTACGGCCCCTGGGTAAGTGGTGCTACAGGGAAGGCGTGACCCTAGCATGGTGTGGGATGAGTAAGATAGTTAACACCACCACTTATGTCACTTATGGCAGCCCTGACATAGGGTTAATTGCAAGAGATTGTATTGATTGTAATGTGATTGTGGTTCCTCACACCAAATGACTAGGGATGGCACGACCCCTGGGTAAGTGATGCTACAAGGAGGGCGTGACCCTGGTCTAGTGTGGGTTGAGTGAGGCAATTAACCTGTATCACTTGTGTCAGATGTGGCGAGGTCTTGGCATAGTGTTAATTGTGAGATTGACATGAATTATGGATGTGAAAATGATGAATGACTGATATATATATATATATATACGCTTGTATATATTTTATTAAATAATGAGTTATGATGAGATTATATTGTGATGTGTTTGTATGTACTTCGCATATAGATATTTTCTTTTCTCACCGTATAAATTGTGGATATTTTAGGTGAAGAAGATCCAGCTACGAGTGGCATCTAGAATGCCAACAGTTAAATTCTGGGAATGCTCTGATAGTGTGACATCGGGGTAGAGGATTTCTAGGATAGAATATTTATATGGATTTGGTATTGTAATGAATGTAATTTCTTTGAAAATCTGTAAACTCTTAAATTTTACCTTTCAAGTTTTATTTTTCAGTCATTTGAGAAAGAACAATTATAAAGTTTTATGTGAACCCTTTTACCAACTTTGATTAAGTTTATTCTTCTTAATTTTATTATATTATTTCGATGTATGTGTTGGGGTAGTAAGGGTGTCACAATCATGCAAGAAATACTTTGAATATTCATACCATAATGTATATGTAAGAGTAATCAACTGAAAACATAATATTATTTAGTGGGATTATAATATGATCTTGCATACATACGCATTCACACACACAAATATTAGGCTGTAAAACATAAAGTCCTATATTGAAGGCCAAGCAAAACATATTGTAAAATTTTAATTAAGTATTAATATTAATTAAATAATTAAAATAAAAAATTATTTGACTGAACAAATAATGCAAAAAAAATATATATTATTTTTCATTTTAATTGAAATCTGCATAAAATTGAAATAATTTATTTAGATATTTAATTAAAAAATATCTTTAAAATAAGAGAATAGTAGTCTCTATTCAGAACCACATCATTCAGTCCGAAATCAAAGTATAATAAATATCTTGTTAATTATTATGATAATCTCAAATCTAAAGAAATTATATATTTCTTCTTAAGAATTTCCTATTGACAAAATTTTAAGGTAATACATAACAATTAAGAATTTTCCTTTATAGTGTATGTTCAATAGTCATATCTCTATATGAACTATTTATATGAGTAATCTAATAAATGAGATCTATTAATCTTTATTCAATAAATACTATTACACATATATTGATCTATTTAGATTAATAATGTCCTATCCTCAATAATCCTATAATCAAGAAAAATTTAGATAAAATTAAAAAAAAACTTAATTTTCTCATTATTATAATATCTATTATTATAAAAAGAAGTCTTTACTTTTAACAAAGACTTTATCATATTAATTATTTTTCACAATCAATAAATATGACAATAAAGCACAATCTTATTAATGCATATAAGATAGATTGGATCTTGGGCATATATCTTATTCCCAACAGTGCGTGTTTATGTAAATTTTAATTTTGATTCCTATAAAAATGGTTAATTATGTTTTAACTAATGTAAGTTCTACCAAGAACCGATGTAAAATATGACCGATGTAGAATATATCATATTTTACATCAGTATTGTCAATAATTGATGTAGAAATGAGACTTTTTATATCGGGTTTTAAATTGATGTAAAATGTCTTATACTTTTTACGTTATCTGAATCTACATCATTTTCAAAATCGATGTAAAATGTCTAAAAAAAAATTTGATGTAAAATGTGCCTCTTATAGTAATTATTATAACCAATGTAAAACTTTTTTACATCAGTTTTATTTTGAATCGATATAAAAAAAAAATTAATTACATCGATCATTGAATAATAAATGTAAAAAAATTACTCTAAATTACAAAAAGCACACAGAATCACTTTCTAAGTGGATTATTACTCGACCAATGTAAAATGATAATTTTGCAATGGTGACCCTCTTAACTTACTCAATGTCATGTGTGACAGTGAGAGAGAGACCTGAGACAATTAATTTGTATCTTCAGACCCTTTACGTTTTGTACTGTGTGGATATATGAAAATGATGCTCCACCAAAATAAATGAACATGAAAAATATATGATAGATTGTGATTTGTGATGGTAAAAGAATGACCCGTGTGATTCGAGTGTTGTTGTGTGCCCTTTCTTTAAATTCCTTGTTTTTTTTCTTGCTCTGAATGAATATATGAACAAGTCAAATGGTCCCCTTGAGTATAGTTTTATGAAAAATACTGCATTTCTTTTCTTTATACATTGGGGGTCAGAGTCTATCTTTTTTCTATTTTTTATTTCATTTTTATCGTTATTTATTTACTAAAACTATTTTTTATTTTTTTATTTTAATTTTTTTATATTGATATTTTTAATTAAATTTAATATTAAAAAAAACAAAAATTGAGGTGAAATTGGGCATTAAAACGAATTATTTTATCCTTGGAATAAAAGTTGGGAACAAAATTAGATAACAAATAAGAAATTAATTCTATTTTAAAAAATAAACTTTTTATTATCTATAACTCGAGATTAAAAATAAAATTTTAGTCATGCAAGATTCTGATCCAAAAACAAGTTTATATTAAGATTTTGGGGGTGTATTTTTACAAAATAAATAAGTAATAAATAAAAAATTATCCATGTTAGTTATTATTTAATTTTAACATAGTTTTGGATGATGAAGAGAATTCAAACCCCCCACAAGGTTAAAGTTGATTTTTCAACTCTATACAAGTGATTTTTCTGATATTGTTGGCAATATGATGTCTCATAAAAATAAAAACTACTTTTGTACCAGCATAAAATGTTCAAATTGATTTCGAAACTCATACAATACATCCAAGTTAATTAGATGAAAGCATATAAAAAGGTGCTATAAATGATAAGCATAATACAAGTGAGAAAACATACCAGATATGAATACATACAAAGCGCTATGAATTTATTCACACACCTTATTACTAATTAAACAAATTGTGATGTGTGTGCGTGTGAAATGTGGTGTGTGTGGGAGAGTAGTGTGAATGCAAATTTTACATTAGTCTAACTTGATCAAGTGATGAATGCACATCAATTTCATCACCTCCATTTTCTTTCAAAGATTCTTTATAGGTCATTCCACGGTATTTTTGTAGCTGTTTTTCATTAAAAAACTCTTTGCTCGGACTTATGAATTTGTCCAAAGAAGGTCCATGAATACCGACCACAGAGATCCTTTGTACTTTATTGCTGCCAACAATAACTCGATGGATATGACTCTTATACACTCCATTGGTTAAGATCTACAATTAATTCATGTTATAAAAAATAAGTTAAATTTAAAGAGGGTGAAAATGTTAAAATAACTAGATACTTTCAAAACTATTTATTTTACGTAAAAATATATTTTGAAAGTTTATGATTCTTAATTTTTAATCATGGTTATAAACTAAAATTAGGTGAATGGTGACTAGTAATTTTTTTTAATATTATTGTGATATATAATGTCATTTTCAAAAATTATTTAGTCAGTATTTATATTTTGATTTTATTTTCAGTCAAAATTTGATTCATTAATTTTTAAAATAAGATAACATCTTATAAGAACTTAAATAATTATAAATTCAAACATTAAGTACTTGTTAACATCTATATCCAAATGCAACAATTTATTAAATTTTAATTTCTTATAATATAACTTCTTATTGCATAAAAGTTTATTAAATAAGATCTTAAATAAATTATTTGTCCAGAAAAATCCTTAGTCTTTCTTTTCTTTTCTTTTTTTTACAAAATTTTGTCATTTTAAATAGGAGTATAGTTAGAAAATAAAATTAACTAAACTTTAAAATCTATAAAAATATATATTTTTATAAAAATAATCCAACATCAATAATTTAATAATCATAAGGAACATATATATAATAAATGAGGTGAGAGAACAATATATAATTTTGTTGGAATTCATATTAATATATAAGATGAGACCCAATTAAAGAGAGACTCCTTTAAAAACAGTGAGTCATGTTGCTTAACAAAAATTAGTTACTTGTCAAGTAATGATACTCCATGTTGTAAAAAATAATGAGACCCACTTAGAGCTCAAGTCTTTTTCTCTCCTAGATCCCTTTAGGTATAGCTACCGGGGGAGAGATTTTGAATAAAATTACCTCTAGTTGATCACCAAGCTGGATGAGTATAGCATGATGGGGAATATAAGCATTAATCCACTTTCCTTTGTGAGAAAGAATTTGGAGACCACCATTTACATCTTGCACAAGTGTAATCACAAAGCCAGGGTCAGTGTGTTCAGCCAAGCCAACAGCTCCCTTGGATTTGGCATTCGGTGGATAAAGGTTCATGGCCAATACATCAAACCCTGACTTCAAGTTCAATGCCTTCTCTATGAAACCTTCTTCAAACCCTAACGTTTTAGACACTGCCCTCGCTAGTCCAATTACTACCCTTCTCATTTCCTTGCCATATTCTTCTAAAGTTTTGCTGATACACCAACAAACCCAAAACAAAATAATATATATATATATATATGGAATGTCATAGTAAAATTAATTATCATTAATTTAATTAACGAAAACACCAAATGAATGTTAGTGAGTTGCTATGGTATTCTTAGAAATTTGAACTAAATAATCGATAATTGAATGATTTTTTATTCTTGCTATGATAAATGATTTAATTGTATTGATCTAAAATAAGTTTTTGTGCACAATATTTTTATTATTAAATAGATCGATTCACAATCTGTAAATGCATGATGCTTATTAACTACCATGTCATCAATTTGTTGGATTAGTTAATTAAATGAGTTTAAATATGTTATGAAAAAGAGAAAGAAGAAGTAATTTTTTAATATTAAATTTTCTAGGAAACTATATAATTTCTCTATAATTATCATATACCTGAAACCTGGTGGATTGGAAGGAAAATGATATTGGGGATTTGTAACAACCTTGAGATATTCCCTGTTTTCCCCAGCTGAGGAGTTTAGTCCCCATCGGTATTTTTTGCTGTTGGTTCTTTTCTCATCTAAGGTTGTTTGATTGAAGAAATCAGAAACTCCCTTTAATGTATAGTCAAATACTCCATCTGGGATGGTATGGTTCACCAACTGCATACATAAAAAGGATTGAGCAACTCTGTCTATGGAAAATGCTTAATCTAAGAAAAAAGATATATATTACGTACAGGAAAGAACACATATAATATTATATAGCTGTTTCAAGATACCCAACCATCTTGTATTATGTCAAGGTTGAATGGCCTAAATATATTTCATTTCTTTAAAGTTGCTGCATGTCTTTTTTTACATTTCGTGCAGTAACTCTTGTAATAATATATAGCAGCTCTCCGATATTTAGTTTCTATCTTTTTTTGGCTGTTTGTGAAAACTTTTCTAATGGTAAGAAATAAATTTTATAATTTCAGTCGTACAACTCTATATATATAAATAATTAAAAGAAAAAATTAATTAGTTAGTACTTACATGATATCTTAAAAAAATGTATTTTTTTTTTAAATTTTGACCTTTAAAAAATATGATCTAATATTCTCATTTTTTAGAATAAGAACAGTTTTCATTATATCTACATAGAGAAGGGGGAGGAGGTGGAAAACTTTTGTATTATCACTACAACACAATTGGTATTTAGTAATATTTGAAAATGTTACTTAATTATATATAAATGTTACTAATTTGTTTTAGCAACATATTATCAAATGTTGTATATAGTCCATGTTGCTAAAGACTTTTAATAACATTTTTGCATAATTAGGTAACATTTAAAATGTTACCAAAGTAGTATTTTTGTAACATTTTAATAATTTTTTGTAACATTTTAATGATGTTACCAATATTTTGTTAATCTTATAAAATAATAATTAATTTTAATTTAAATATTACTATTAATTATTATATTTTTATGTCTCCTAAACTTCTAAGAGTTCCTTAAGTTTTTAGAGAAAGACATTTTTAGTTAGTCACCACTAATTATATATAGAATATCAAATTTCATTTATCTTAAATATAACTATATGAGTATATATACTCTTTATAAGTCATTAATATATTCGATGTGGGACTTTAATTATGAGTTACAATTAGATATAAGAGAAATATACTTTTTTTTACTCGACGTGGGACTTTGATTTTAGAAGCAATTATAGTAACATTTTTCAAAAAAATGTTGCAAAATAACATGTAAATTTTTTTTACTTGATATGGGACTTTGATTTTGAAAACAATTAGAAATAATAATATTGAAATAAAAAATGTTACTCTATCTATAATGACATTTTTCAAAAAAATATTACAAAATAACATTTATTTAATATATAGTAACATTTTAACAAATGTAAACAAGAAAATGTTGCTAAAAGATTAAAATCTAGTAGTGTATATTATTTATTGAAACTAGTCTCTATACTTTTTTATTCGTGAATGAAAATAATTTGATTTTAGTCTTTCAGGTATTTAAAAAAAATATTTTCAAATTCTAAAAGCATTATAAAATCATGTTTTTTAATTTATATTGAGGGGAAAATTTATATTTTTTATTATTAAATTAGGGGTTAAAAATAAAAAATATATATATATATTATAAAATATCATATTTTCAAAAAATTAAAAATGTATTCCAGCCTACATTAAAATTGCTAACAACACAGACACATCCTGTATTGAAAACTTTTGGTATAATGTATGAATGTATTTGTATTTGTAGGTATATGAGATTTATACCTATATTTTGAATTTATTACTAAGTGGAACAATGATACAATGTTATATGTTTAGGTGTATAAAATAATGACAAATAAAAATTATATATATAGATATACATGTCATCCATATGCATGGTTTTAAATCCATCCATATATATATATATGAAAATTAAAATTATTGTAATGATCATAATCACTCTGGTATAGTTTATAAATTGATTGACTAACTAGTTTTGAAGTGAATAATTTTGACTAAAATAAGCTAAACAGTATTTAATAGGGGATAAAATAATTAGAAAAGAAAAGAAACTATGCATTGTGAAAATTTATAGTAGGACACAATAAGAGGTACAAGACAATTACATAGAAGAAGCCATATTCTTGGCATGCTTCACGGAGGCATTGAAGGGCATGGAATTGCTGATTAGGGTTGTCAGAGAAGAGTAGAGAGTAGTCAATGGTGGGTATGTCTTCATCAGTAGCTGATGAATAAGGTTCAGAAGAGTGTAATTGGGATGCCAATGAGCTTATTTCAGCCATTAACTATAAAGATTAAGAGACAGAACAAGACAAAGGTATACTTGTTACAAGTAGCTATATATAAATAAGATGCATGAACTGAACCATTCCCTATATGAACTGGCCGGGAGCCTTCCGTGTGTGTCAAGTAACTACTATATAAATCTGAGATGCATGAACTGGAACATTCCGTACGTGCGTGAAAGTTTAAAATCATGTTCTAAACATTTGTGGCGAAAATAAAAAATATACTTTAAGCTATAAAATCACACATGGTAATTGATAGGATATCTAAAAAAAGTAAATAAAGTATCCCAGAAGTCTAAATTTTAAAATTTTTTCTTTCAAAACTATGAAGACCGCACGTGTATCCACATTGAGACTAATCTTTGCTTGTCAACTTCTTAACCGAACAATTTTTCAATAGAGAATATAAGAGAGAAAAGAACTAATTTAATTATCAAATAATAAATTTTCTTGAGTAAAATTTAGAACACTCATTAGTGTGTGACCCTATAGACTCAAAATTAAACTGATAGTAAATTAACTACATTAATTTACTAATCAAGATTGGTGTCTAGTAACACTCCTTAACATTCAAATAGTATGAAATAATATTCTCAAGAACCTTTAGAAAATTAACATAAAATTTTCTTCCATCTTTCACAGCTCTAAATTAACTTTGGAATATGGTTTAATTGTCAAATTCTAATAAGTTAACATATAATGAAAAATACAAGAAAAACTCTTTTTCTTTTTCATTTCAATTGTCTCGGCCAAGGTCCTTATTTTCATTATCACTACAAAAAACTTGTTTGTTTGCGGCGGTTTTTAACTTTGGGCCTTTTTAGAAGTTTGGAACAGGCCGTTCTGGTTTTGGAACGGCCCGTTCTGGGTGTCAGAACCTTCCATTATAAATACATTCACTTTCACCACAAGTTTCACCTTCACTTTCACCACAAGTTTCACCTTCACTTTCACCATACCAAATTTATCAAAGTTATCAAAATACTAACTCACCCTTCTTATGATATTCCCTCCAATCACGATGTTGAGTCATACACACAGCTTTTAACTGGTTGTGTCATGGACCTTAATCAAATACCTTCTCAGCCATTTGACCAAGCTACAACTTCTGCCTCTCATCCCAATATTCAAACCAACATTGAAGATCGTCTTCTTGTTGGTCTCCCAACAGAAAATGTCTTTGATCCTTTTAGCGAAAACGAAGACGAAATTCTCTTTGAACATCAAGATGATGATGAATAAGAAATCCTTCCAGTTCCAAATAGTCCACCATTAGAACCAGTAGCCATATACAACCCACCTCCACACTTTTTAGACTTTCCCAGTAAAATCCAACAACAAGACACTGAGTATAGCCATCTGTTGGAACGCGAAATGGTTGTGTATCCACCTGGAACACTCTTTGTTGGCCAACGCTTCCAAACAAAAGAATAAGTACAAGATGCCATTAACAGATTTCACATTGTCAACCATTGCACTTACAAGGTTAAGCACTCAAACACTACTAGGCTTCTCGTGGAATGCGTTCACCACGATTGTGAATGGAGATGTCGTGCTATATTGCGCACTAGAGAACAACATTGGGAAATCATGATCCTTAAAGGCCCTCACACATGTGTTTCTTCACCCATCTCCCAAGATCATAATAAATTGGGGTCACAAATGATTTCTCAAACCATTCGTGAAATTATTGAGGCTAATCCATCTACACCCATTTCAACCATCATAGCCCACATCAAGTTGACCATGGGTTATACAATTAGTTATAAAAAGGGATGGCTGACCAAGCAACATGCCATTGAAAACATCTTTGGAAACTGGGAGGAGTCGTACAATAAGTTACCAGGTATGTTGCAAGCAATGCAAATGTATGTTCCAGGCTTTATTTGGAAATTTAATACGCAACTGGCTTACCAAGGTGGCTTATTGGAAGAGGGGAATGTTATATTCAAAAGGTTATTTTTGGACCTTTAAACCAATTGATGGTTTTGCCTTCTGCAAACCAATTGTTCAAGTTGATGGAACCTTTTTATACAACAAATACAAAGGTATGTTATTGGTCGCAGTTGCGCAAGATGATTGCAACAACATAATTCCTATTGCATTTGCTGTTGTTGAAGGTTAAACTAGCGATGCATGGTTTTTTTTTTCTTAAGAACTTAAGGCGGTATGTAACATTGCAAGACAGGTTGTGCCTAATTTCTGATCTTCATGAGGCTATTCGAAGTGCATACTCAAGAAATCGAAGTGGTTGGACAGAAAATAATTTTATCTGTGTCTATTGTATTCGACACTTTGCACAAAATTTCATGAGACGATTCAAAAATGCAGCACTGAAGAAGGATGTCGTCAACATGCGTAATTTTATCATCTTTTTTTAAAACATTTAATAAGTAGTTTTCATTATTTAATTATTATTTTTTTCAGCTTATGGGATGACTGATCCTAGATTCTTTTACTATTACAACATAGTAAGAGATACTAATGCTGAAGTAGCCCAATGGTTAGATAACATTCCTAGGGAAAATAGACACTACCATGGGACAATGGACGACGTTGGGGACACATGACAACAAACCTAACTGAGTCTATTAATTCTGTATTGAAGAAAACACGAAATCTGCCAATTTGTTTCATGTTAATGGCCACATACACTCATTGCAACAAGTTTTTTGTTCAAAGAGGCAGGAAAGTGGATGCAATGATTAATGTTGGACATGTCTATTCGGAAATTACAAGTAAAACTATTCAAGATGCACAGTCCAAGGCAAATACTCATAGAGTTATCACCTTTGACAGATCAAACACTAGATTTCTAGTGAAAGAAACGCAACATTCGACAGAAGTTCGACCCACTGGGAGATTTACAGTAAGGCTAGATGAAATGTGGTGTGATTGTGGCAAGTTTCAAAAAGTTTATATCCCTTGCTCGCATGTACTCGCTTCATGCTTACATGCACGTCACAACTATCAAACTTACATATCTCCCATATATACCTTACAACAAGTTGCAAAGGTATACGAAGGACAATTTGGAGAGCTCTAACATGAAGATTATTGGCCTACTTACACTGGTCCAACTATGTGGCCAAATCCAGAACTCAAGAGGACTTCCAAGGGTCGGCCAAAGTCCAGCAAGATTAGAACAGAGATGAATATTAGAGAACAACATAATCGTGTAAAAAGTTGTTCCTATTGTCACACCTCTGGTCACACTAGGAAGACATGTCCAAATATTGGTCATGGATTTAGTTCCCATCACCATTGATTTTATTGTTGTAATGAGTTTTAATAAATTTATTTAGTTATATTTATAATGTTAATATTCAATAAATTTAATTACTTGATGTTACTCTTTGAGACTACATTGTATTTGTATTGAAAAGGTAAATTGTGTTCGCTGCAATGTTAAGTTTGAAACTAGATTTAAAGGAAACACCTTTGAAGTATGAAACTATAGTGTCTTAAACTTAAAAACACGAGATGATAATAATGGGACCTTGTCTTAATAGATTCGAAACTTGTACGAGTCAAACTGTGGCTAATAATTAAAAATCTAGATAACTTGCACATCACACTACGAAAACATGTCCAAATAATATATAATTATAATAATTTATAAGCTAAACATTAAAATTCATATTACATTGATAAATAAAAAAAAGATAATGCATAGAATTGGGCAGAATGACCCGTTCCAAATTGCTAAAAAGGGCTAAAATCCCTAGTTAGAACGGGCCGTTCCAACATTAAGGTTATGTGAAAAAATTCAACTCTAGAACGACCCGTTCTAATTTAAGAACGGGCCGTTCCAATTGCAAAAAAAACACAACGAGAATGCATGCAGAATGGGCCGTTCCTGTTACAAAATTCTTAGATTACCTGGACCTAAAACGAAAAAAAAAAATATGTAAATAATAAATAGTGCTAGTTGAAAAAATGAATTTGCACAGGTACTATTTGAGTAAATTTATTTTAAAAATATATTATTTAAGTAAAAAAACTCTTATTTATCATCCGATATTTACATGCCTCTTCAAGATTTCCTAGTTTTTGCTAAAATACAATTCTAAGGTTTTACCTTAATCAAGATGACTTGGCAAATTAACATTTAAGCTCGAGTCTCCTTCACTACATTAACCAAATGCTTAATGAAAAATGCATCCTAGAATTTTAGATATTATTGGAGAGTTTTTACAATAAACGAGCACTCCATACAATAAATAATGCACACAAATAAACTTGATATTACAAAATAACTTATATATTTCTCACTTATATATTATTCAACATATTCAATTCTAATTAATAGACTTCACTTCATACTTAAATTCTAACATAAATAAACATATAAATTCACATTCTCCGAAAAGAGAGAAATTTATAATTCTAAGAGCAAGTCTTTTTCTGAAAAGCAGCAATAGTTAGCTACCAGGTTGAATATTTCTTCAGATTGATTCCAAATGGTACGGCAAAGATAAATGTAGGGTAAGCTGTCACTTCTACAAAAAAATCAGAAGCTTAGGAAAGAAATGTATTTTTATTTAATTTGTATAATTTTTTACTTTTTTTTTTTTTGGAAAATACGAAAAAAATAATAACATAGTTGAGGTGATGATAGAATTAGAAAGAGATAAAATAATGTTATAAAAAAGTATTTCCTGTTTTGATGTTATCTGTCACATTACATTTTTTTTCCTTATCTCTCTCTTTGTGTTTTTATTTTTCTCTGCAGAGGTCTATCGTACTTTTTCAGTAGATAGTGAATCAATATTTTTCCTTTAATAAATAATTTTTGCCCGTATTCTGTCAGTTTGGTTTTATGGGTTCTCATTCTCTTTCTAATAATTCCGACCACTTCAAGTCTTTTCAGCTCTTTCGAATTTCGATCAATTATTGGTTGTTTTCTTTAAATTTTTTAGAATAGACAAACGGATGGCACATATTATCCTTATCCCAGTTAATATTTATAATAATAATGAATAACATGATAGTAAGTAGTAACGATTTCAACAAGTTGTTCTGACCATATCTATTTTTTATTT